CAGCGCTCGCGTAATGTAGATGGCGCGGCCAGCACTGACGATACAGCTGATACATGTGTTACAGGTTCTACAAGAGTATTAAAATTTTTTTTGTTAACGAGAGCGGTGGCTCTTAAAAATTGTGGTGAAAATAAAAGTTTCTTAATTGTCATTATTGTGTATTTACTTACATAAAAGAAGACTAAATGAAAAACGACAACACCTGTTTTGGTCTTTCTGAATTCCCATCTTCAATTAACAGTTTCAGTTATTCTATTAGCCATTGTTGCGTTCCCACATTTTCGCATAACAACCACTAATTCCTTTTCTGTAGTTAATCGTCGTCTCAACTTTTTTGTTTAGGAATTGTCACCAATTCTTTTATTTCCTAAGCTCAGCAAGATACTAACCTTGTGTATTAGTGGAATACGGACTCTCACTTGCAGAGGAAGTATATTTCGAGCATCCCGTGCGTACCTGAGTATCGAGTTTTCGGTTTAGAAGTAGAATCCTTCCACGAATTCATAATTATAAGTCTTTAAATGCGTTAAATATTGCATGTGTGTGGTGTTTATGAGTGTGAGTGTTTGTAAATAAAGCTGTGAGGCCTAAAAAAATGTGTCTCAAATCTCAATCCAACCCCATCCAGTTACAACCCAGTTGTACAACCTGCACACTACATAATACATTGAAGTTTTATGTCCTCCACAGTCGAACAGTTCTTATAATATCTTCTTTTGTTGTTACTTACTTACTTACAACACTTACTTAGTTTGCTACTAAAGCAATAACAGTCTTTTGGTACTGGTTATATTATTGAAGGATACAATTGAATTGCTTCCTTAACATTTAATTTTACCATTAATTCTTAAAATTTCGGAAAAATAAAAATTATTTTTAAAAAGAGTCGAGAGTCGGATTTTTATATCGAATCCTGACTCATATTCCCGACTGCTTAAAAAATTACTCGACTCCCGTCTCCGACACATCTCTGGAAGTAATTATAGCAGTATTTATATCTATAAAATATCTGTATTTATTAAGAAAAGATTTATAAATTCTAAATATATATAAATTGATTTTTCTGCATTATGAAGTGTTTCTACTATTTTATGAATAGTTTTATCTACATTATTCAAGAAAAATTTTAAAATTAGAAAATAAATGTGTATAAATAAGAAATTGTAACCATGCTTCCTTCTACGCAACCATGTTTCCTTCCCACGCACTGACAAAAGCGCCCCCTGGGTCCGTTCAGGAGAAATGGTCTATAGGTCTCAAAATTCACCCGAGAGGAAGTACAGCGCAACCGGCGCTGCCGCTGAGAAACGTTTAGTACAGCGCAATCACGCACTTCTGTTGGGAAGCGTTTAGTTTATACTCTCTCATCCCGAGAGGAGAGATATTTAGCACAATTCTATGTATTTATTGACCTACACACTCTCACCCGCAGAGGTAGTATATTCCGCGCATCCCGAGCAAACCTGAGTATCAGGTTTTTGGATTAGAAGGAGAATACTTCCACGAATGTAGAATTATCCGCCTTTAAATGTGTTACATATTATATATCTCCATGTATGTGTGTGATATCTGTGTGTGCGTAAATAAATTTGTGAGTTTTCAAACCTGTGTCTCAAGTCTCAACCCACCACACCCGGTTAAAATCCAGCTTCACAATCGGCAACACTACAAAAAAAGGGACTAAATGACTAACGAGAAAATTAATGTCACTGTTCTAAAAGCGTGAGGTGCTCGATGTCAATCATTATAATTTTTCACTAGTTTCATTCCGAAATGCAGAGTTAGTTTAAAAATGTCATACAAAGCACCCCACGCTTTTAGAACAGTGACATTTCATTTTCTCGTCAGTAATTTTATTCTTATGTTAACAATTATTTTTTACTTTTTAATTTGATTAACTCTAAAAGCGTCTTTTTTAGTTTTTTTAAACTATAATTTATTTACATGAGGTCCCGGTACGGATGACTGGAACTATATTTCTTTCAATAATTTAATTGTGAGTAAAACAAAAGCTTAATACTAATATAGCCAGCCAGGATTCGAACAGGGAATCTCCTGATCCGTAGTCCATTGTCCCACGTAGGTTTGAATACTTTACTTTGCTTGAATTTACTTTCATTCTACATGGGTTAAATTGCTCTTCATGAGTTAAAATAAAATCACTAATCCTGGAGATCCTAATTCTGATGAGATAATTAATTTACCAAAATATTTTATTGTCGTCGGTCCTTGATAAGTCTACAACGTTTAAATTAAATCTGGTCGCTTAAAGTAGGGCAAAATCGAGCCCAAAGAGTCAGTTACAAACAAACATACAGGTGAAACTAATAAAAGCGTATTAAAACGAAAAAATGAATAGATTAGTTTGGATGTTAACTTTTTGCTTTCTCTAATAATGAATTCAGAAAAGCGTTTTAATGATTTTACATATTACAATGTTTTTCATTTTCAGGCCCTTTGACTTCAGTGACTGGTGTGTCTAACATAGCTTTTCTGAGTCAGGGATTCCCAGATTCACAGAATGATTTGCCCGACTATCAGTTGTATTTCTTGGAAGGAGTGCACGAAGTGATGAAGCAGAAATGTATGATTAATTCGACGGTAAGATGAAAAGAAAATTTTTTTACAAAATTTTTATCTTAATCTGTAATAGTAAATAACCCCAGTCAAATTTATTTCGATTATACTTTCTAAATAAAAAGTACAATCTATCTATTCCATAGTTGTTACCTTTTGGGAATGAAAATACTGGAAATTTTTGGTATAGGAATTTTAAGTTATTTTTACTAAAAATTTAAAAAAAGTAAAAAAAAAAAAAGTATTTTGGCACTAACTATAAGTACATTATGTTCGACTAGAGAAGAAATAAACAGGCATTCAGTGGGAATAATGCTGCTATTTTCAACATTAGCGCTAAATAAATATTATTATTATTATTATTTCTACTTTTATTCACCATGTTCTATTGATGTTTAGTGGACTTGGTATGAGTAGTTATATCTCCTTTCCACCATGTGTTATATTCAAAACCATGTACAATCAGAACTAAAAGCAAATGAAGTACCTTTCTTAGACTTAATTATATAAGAAAATTTCCTTGCATAACATTCTTTAAACTGAGTAAGGTATTTTTGTTTGATTTAGCTCTCATTGCTAAACATAAAATCACACTCGCGTCAAAGAAAAGTACTCGATCCGAAACAAAACCCATGCTAACGAAGGAGCGAATTTCGGGAAAGCATTTGCTTAAGTTTCGGTTTAGAGGCAGGGAAACGACCGACTCTTCCTTTTTTACTTCCCACGAGTCATGACTAGTTTACAATGTTTTCTTTCCTTCCATTGTAAACAGCCATGCACCATTTCAAGGCCGGGATGCCATCTTTAAGATGAGATATTTTCAAGCTTATAGATCGTCTTTAATTTTTTCATTTGTAATAGATTATTTTACCACTTCATCGTTAGGGATTTGCGTCGAAATTCTCCCTATTTTTGTACAAAAATTCCTTTTTTAAGGAATTTCCCGATTTTCGATAAAATTTGGGAGAATTATGTACAATTACGGAGTTTGGGAAAAGGGAGCGAAATTCGGGTGACTCCCGAATAAATACCGCGAGAGTAGGCTGGTATGCTACTACCAAACTTTTCTAGAGGCTGGCGGTTGCTATGGAAACAGATTAAGGTACGGCAAATCCATTACGAATAGGTAGGTTTTCGTTCAAATTTGCCACATTGGCGCACTTAGCACATTTCGGAAACCGGTTTTTGTTTTTCGAGGGAAATCCACCACGTGATTATTGATGTGTTGTAGACATCCAATAGGAAGGAAGATATATGCTGTTTAATGTGTGAAAGCACCTTAACAATGTAAGTGGCAAGGCCATGGTAATTGATAAGAGAAAAAATTTATGCTCGTTGCTGTGATAGCTCAGAAAATTTATATTGCTTACAAAATTTTACGAAACTGAACAAAAACAATTGAAAGCGAGTTACTAGATTATAAGAACACATGACAATCACAATTTTCGCTTCCTTAAGGAGTACCTGGGCGACTTAGTGTTCCTAAAACTTCATATAATCATTTGAAGGTAACAATACAATTTTAATAATAACAATACAATACTTCATATATTCATATGAAATTAACAAAGGTAATTACAGCAGCTAAATTCAAAAGACATAATAGACAAACTGGTGTTAAATCTCTGAAAAAATTAAGATTTACAATAAATACAACTTCAGGTAGTAAAATAAAAATAAACAATTAAGGGTAACAAAGTAAAATATAGAAGACAAAAATACAATATATATATATATATATATATTGTATTTTTAACCATCATTTATATATAATATATATATATGATGGTTAACTAGATGGGATAGAATGGATAACTCTCTGACGCTCGGTACCACAGGTTTCGGGTTTCAAGTCCAGGCGGTACCATAGATGTTTCTAGTGGCTCGGAATCCACTTTAACACTTTAGGTCCTGATCTCATATGATCATAGAGCGATGTGGATGTAGTGTTACTCGCTTCCGTAGCATATCTTCAAGCTACACGTGCCTCCTGGGTAGTGCTAAATGAGTAACAGCGTTGCAGCCCTTTCTTGTGACATAAAGATATATATATATATATACAACATAATAGGCTATTCTAAAATTATAATGCAAAAAAAGTGATAAAATAAAAAGCAATTAGGCCGGCGAAGAATAAATGAGTTTGTTGTTGCTGTTTCTTATCCCACTTGGCTGGCCAAGCCCACGAGCCCATATGGACTCATGATTGAAGGGGAAGGAAGCAGCTTCTGTTGTGATGGAGCACCCCGTAGGTAGAAGCTTGACTTTTGCTCCGTGACGTTCTTACAGTCATAGAAGACCGGGACCTACGGCTTAAAGTGGATTCCGAACCACTACAAACATCCATGGCACCGCCGGGATTCGAACCCGAAACCTGTGGCACCGAGCGCTAGACACTCAGCTATTCAGGTCCCAAATTTGCCAACGGCACGCAGTGTTCCCAGGTGGTCACCCACCCAAGTACTGACCGCGCCCAATGATGCTTAACTTCGGTGATCTAACGAGAACCGGTATATTCAGTGCGGTACGGCCGTACGGAAACACAGGCGAAAACAGTTGCGAATGCATATCGTTGACGCGGGTGCGTAGATAAGTTGCCGTAGTTACGCACGAATGAGCTGATCTCTGTAGTTTCTTATCGGTAGTTTAGAAAAAAAGAAGCAATTCAGATTCCCAACAAGGAGAATTTAGATACGTAATTACAGAATATTTTGCAAATGAGATTGCTTTAATCTCTTATGAAAATCTATTGCAATCTTATTGCTATAATCTGTATCTTAAAAATATGATAGGTTGCAATGATATCATGTAATACATATGAAATATGATACTATTACATATATAATTTTAATTCTATTTCGTCATATTTATTAATTTTCTTTATCGACAAAACTTGGTTAAATAAAGAATGTTAAAAAAAAAAAAAACAGAGCAATGATGAATCTTCTTTGTTATATATTAAAAAATATATCAGACTAAGTAATTGCTTCTAAAAGAATGTTATTTTTAACGCAGAAAATATTTTGATGGATCAATAGATTATGGAAAGATTAACACATCAATATTTTATGCATAAATTTAGGATTGCCATCTTTTCAGAAATACATTTAAGAAAAAGTTAATTTTTAAGTATGAACAAAATCATATATTTAAAACCATATCTATCGTATCAATCTTTTTTAAGGAATTTCTATAATCTTTTTATAATTATAAATAATTCCTTTACTTTAATTAATAAATTAATATATTCATTGCGGTTAAAAATTTCTGATAATATATATTTTCTAAAAGTAACATTTCCTTTAATATAAAGTTTTAATAAAAGAAATTAAATCAAAATGCGTTTATTTAATTATTTTAGTCCAACATATTGAATTTCTGGAGCTCGGGGCCCCAGGTTTCAGGTTCGAGACCCGGTGGAGTCATATGTGCTTGTAGTGGTTCAGAATCCACTTTAAACTGTAGAGATCCCGGTCTAATATTGCCGGTCTATATAAGCCGTAAAGCATTGGGTGGGGCTGACAACTTACCACGTAAAAAGAAAACATCTGCTGTCTCGAAATCTCCCAGTAGGCAGACGGCTTTGGCCCACCATGGGGCTGTTGTTTGATTGAAGAAGAAAATAAGTATATTGAATTAGAAGATTAAATTTTCTACCGATGGAAAAAAAAGATATTAATGCACTTGTTGTATATAGAAATTATAACACAAAAATATAACATTTCTCTTGGTAGGTCTCTCGATAAGTATATTTTCTGTTACAACTGAAATTAATGTTGTTGGTTGTATAGTATTTGTGTACATAACACATGAAAGAATTAAGCAGTGTTATATTTAGTGGTTAAAATTAGCCGTTAATTTATATTAATATTAAAGATAAACACCGTTAACGAAAATTAATAGTTTTCCCTCACGTCTAGTTTCTAAGGCAACCGCCATTGCAGAGACGCAGTAGAGGGAAGAGTTCTTATGGTGGAAACACCCTACACATATAAATATTTATTTTAGAGGCATACTAAAAAATAATCTTTCATATAAAAAAATTATGATTTTCTTAATCAGAAAGTGATAATAATAATAATAATAAGTTAAGAATACTTTCCATTATTTTAAATTTAGCTGAACATCTTATTCATTTGCACTTTTATTCAATACTCTTTTTTAAAAAAATATATCACTCAATTCACTAATTTTTTATCATTTTTTTACATTTTTTTTATCAATAAGTTACTTTTATTTATTTCTGAACAATTTCATTAAGTAATTATTTTGGGACTAATGGTCGAGTGACTGGCACTTGGTGCCACAGATTTTGGATTCGAGTGCCGGAGGTGTCAGGGATGTTTGTAGTGGTTCGGAATCCCTTTAACCTGCAGATTCCGGTCTAATATGACTGTTGGGCGTAGTACAGACAACCCTACCGCGTATAAAGATAATATATCTTGTTTCGGAATTTGCCAATAGGTTTTTTTAATGCAGCTGGCAATACAGACAGTTATCTTTATGCCCTCAGTAAGGGCTGTACCGCTGTTACTCATTTAGCACTAAATGAAACACTACGCAGGGGGCACGTGTAGCTTGAAGATATGCCACGGACTCGAGTAGCACTACCTCCACAAAGCTCTACGATTATATTAGGCCGGGACCAACTGTTACCTAAAAGGGATTACCTACTGGATCCTACCTAAAAGGGATTCCGAACCCCTACAAGCATCCATGGCACCACCGAGACTCGAACCCTGAGCGCCAGAGCGCTAGCCACTCTACGATGAAGCCAATTTGCCAATAGGCAGATGGCTTTAGCCCTCCATGGCGCTGTTGTGTTATTGAAGAAGAAGAAGTAATTAATTTAATTTTCATTCAAGCTTTACATTGGTATCGGAAAGTATGCGGTATTAGCTTACTAAATAAATCCGTACGTTTTAGAATAGATTTTTAAAAATTGGCCAGTACTGTATGCCCATCACGAGAGTTTTTCTCGCCGCGGTGTCTGTGTGAGTGGAGTCACTATAGCAACTGATTATGTTTGGGAAGATTAATTTCTGGTATAAAAAGTCTCCGGTTGAAGTTTTGGCTTTATTTTATTCTTGGAGTCTATTTGTGATTGAAAAAGAGTAATTGGTCAGACTTTTTTTTTACGGTTTTGTCACTGTTGCATTTATTTTTTCTATTGGATATCTCGTTTTCAATTGTTTTTTGTTAAATTTGGTTAATTTTTCTCCGTTGTTGTTCGATATTGTATTTTGGAGTAACTATTAATTGCAAAAAAAAAATCAGAAAATATGGAAAAAGTGAAACTGGCGAATTCTATTTATCGACGAAACTTGATTATTTTTCAGGAAACGGACATAAAAAATAACACCATTTCGTGATCCCATATAAATGTTAATTCGATTAACAGATTCATAATAAAATAACTCTTCCTCTCATAATAATAACTGTCCCATAATAACTCCTCCGTAACTCTCCTCTATTCATAATAAAATAACTCCTCCTCTACTATGCATGTGCCTCCTGTAGATGACCTCTTGTAGGATCGGCTACAGGAGGTTCATCCACAGATATCTGGTCTACACAGCATCAACAATTGGATTACTTGTTAGGAATGCTAGTCAAATATACGCAGAGAAAAAATAATGTGTTTAAAAATTCCAGAACATATTATAGATGGAAATAAATTTTTTTTTCCATCAATTATCGCTGTTTCTTCCCCCATTTCTGCATTTTTCGTTGTTTCCATTCGCTTCTTCCCGCTATCTCTTCTAAAAAAAGATAACAGATAAAGAATACTTACTGAATGCTGAGAATGGTAACAATTTCGTTAATTTTTAAAATCTAGTGTTGGAAATTTAAAGCAGTTTCCTCCCCCCTAACCCACCGAATTATTACTTAAAAGTTATACAATTAAATTAAATTTAAAATTCTATTATAAATGACTTAAGGGGAGGATAGCTACCATCTAGATCCCCGTCCAAATGAGAGCCCATGGGGAACGAATGGCTTTCTCAAACTCATTAAAAGCCTATTTGAAAGTCTTAACTAATTTTTTCTTCTTCCAATGCAGCTGGCAAACACTTAGACAGCTTGGTCTTGGATGCCTTAAGGCAAGCGCTGCACAGACGTACTCACTTTGCATTACCCAGGGGGCGCGTGTCACTTGAAGATAAGCCACGGACGCGGAGTAACAATGCCCCCGCAACGCTCCACGATCATATTAGACCGCGACCTACGGTTTAAAGTGAATTCCGAACCATTACAAACATCCATGGCACCGCCGGGATTCGAACCCGAAACCTGTGTTACCGAGCGCTAGCCACTCGGCCATTCAGGCCCATCTTAACTAATTTAAAAGGGCTTCAACGACCGAGTGAGTAGAGCTCTGGAACTCCGTGTCACAGGTTTCGGCTTCGAGTCCCTTCTGTGCCATGGATGTTTGCAGTGGTTATTAATCTACTATAAACCGTAGATTCCGGTCTAACGTGATTGTAGACAATCACACAACCAAGTCAGACTTCTACCTACAGGTTCTCAATTACAACAGAAGCTTCCCCCTTTTCCCATACGGGTTCATGGACTTGGCCTAGATGCCTACCAAATGGAATAAGAAACAACAACAACATAAATGACTTAAGGGGAGATAACTCCACTCTAAAGCCCCGTCCAAATGAGAGCTCGTGAGGAAAGTTTGATTTTCACAAACTCATTAAAAACATGTTTGACAGTTTTAACTTATTTAAGATGTGGAGGTTTAGTGGTTTTTAAAACCACGTTGAAACTCAATAACTGATACGCCAGCTGCCCCATGTGTTTCGTCCGCGCTCCGTAGCGGTAGCAGTAGCGGCCTGATGGGCGATTGGCTAGTGCTTTGGCTTTTGGTACCACAGGCTTCAGGTTCGAATCCTGGTTGTGGCATGTTATGTTTGTGAGTGGTTCGGTATCCACGTTAAACTGTAGGTCCTTGACTAATTAGCCTGAAGTATGCACAAAATGACCGTAGAGCGACAGACAAACAAACCAAACCATTCAGCAAGAGTCGTGTTTTTTCCGCACATTAGAGGTACCCCATTTATGACCTGAGTTTTCGCGGTCAGACTGATACACTCGGAGCGAAAACCCCTCGCCCTTTGTGTGCTCTCGTTTGGAATGGTCTTTAGGGAAAAGAAGTCAACTCTACTACGAAAAGGACAGGAGATATTTACCCAAAATTTTTATTCTTTTAGAATAGGGGAACAGGGCCTGAATGGCCGAGTGGCTAGCGCTCTGGCGCTCGGCACCACAGGTTTCAGGTTCGAGTCCCGGCGGTGCCATGGATGTTTGTAGTGGTTCGGAATCCACTTTAAACCGTAGGTCCCGGCCCTAATAGGATCGTAGAGCGCTGCGGGGGCATTGTTACTCCGCGTCCGTATTTTCAAGTTACACGCGCCCCCTGGGTAATGCAAAGTGAGTAACGTCTGTGCAGCGCTGACCTTAAGACATCCAAGAACCAAGCTGTCTACATGTTTGCCAGCTGCATTGGAAAAAAAAATAATAGAGGA